ACTCCTCGGCGCCGACCAGCGGGCCGCCGGGGGCCTCGGGGAAGGGCGGCGACACGCGGGGGCCCAGAGGAGGGAAGAGCCGCTCGGCCGGCCGGGCGCGGTACGAGCCACCCGTGCGCTTCATGCGCTTCACCAGGAAGCCCCTCGGCATGGCGGGCAGCGGGCCACCGGCGCGTGGACGGACCACGGCGGACGCGGAGCGCGTTGGGCCGGGCCCGGCACGCGGCGGGCCGCTTTATAGCTGAGACCGCCGGCCGGGCCGGAGCGGGCCCCTCGGGCTGAGCCCGCCAATCAGGAGTGAGAGCGGATCCCGGGGCGGGGCCTCGGTCCCTCCCCGCCCACCCGGCGGAGCAGCCCCCGGACAGCCGGCCGCACCCGCCGGGCCAGCGCGGGAAGGTGAGCTGGCGAGGGGCTGGGCACGCCCGGCGCAATCATCCCCAGGGTCCGTGCGCGGGGGAGCCGGGCGCCACCACCCGCACACGGCGGGGCCGACCGAGCGCGGTACCCGGCGTCGGGCTGAGAAGGCTCGGTCTACCCGGGAGGACAGTGGACGGACAGGCGCGGCCACAGGGCGAGAGTCCGCCCGGGAAGGGTTAACGTCCTCTCCCAGCTCTGAGCTGATGAGCAGCGGCGACAGAGCGGCTAAATCCACCGCCCCGTGCCTACACTTGACGGGAGGACGTCTGCCATCCCGTATCGATCTGGACTGCGCGCGTCTGTGACACTATGAGAATTCATCTGGGGAGAAGGACTCTCAGGGCGGCACATCGTGCGTGCTGGCAAGCCTGCGGAGTCAGACGCCGCACCGTTCCGCACCGAGCTCTCGGCTGATAAGTGCCCCTCTCCTGGGGGAATAGGAGTGGGGCGGGGAAGGGATCTAATTTTCGACTGTCCTCACATAAAGTGGTTTCTCTGTTCACACTTTCCACTTAAGCTACCCAGAGACATGACTTAATGCCTAGCTGGCCTGTTTAGCATGGAGCAGATTGAGTGAGAAATGCTGGTGGAACCCACATTACATCTGCCTCGCTGTACATGACAAGCGATACTTTGCAAAAAGATGTGCCGTAGATCAAACTCAACAGATTTTCATCTGGCCCCTGCCACAAGCCCAGCACTTTCTTTTTCAGAACCAGAACGGATTTGAAAGTTTGAAATCTAGTCGAACAATGGAATCATTAGACAATACACAACAGAGGTAAGGGGCCAACACTTGTAACAGAAGCCAGTGCGGTGTGAAAACAGGAAGGAAAAACTATTCTCATCACACAGAACTGGAGGAAAATGAGGGCGGTGGAACACGGGGTGTCAGGTCTTATCAGTGCAGCGTTTTCATGTGAACCACAAAGGGTTTGGACATAATTGTGTAGTAATCTCTGACTATGCATTCAGCATCCTGCTTAAGTGATCTCTACACACACGCACACACAGGCACACTCATGTGCACATACATACATGCACACAAACACTCACACACCAGGGGAGCCATTGAATCTTTATTCAACAAGCAGATTGGGCCAGAAAGAAGGTAGGTAACTGGCCATGGTCACATAGACTAAACCCTAAAGAAAGCCTGGCAAATTCCAGTGCCTAGACTTCTTTCCACTAAACCAATGACTTCAAACTATTTCTGCTCTAAATATATCCCACAGTAAGCAGTAAGTCTTATAGAACACACACCACACACACACACACACACACACACACACACACACACACTGAAAATAAGTTTCACAAAGTAATACTTTATCTACATGCACTGTATTCTCATGTTTTCTGCTCAGTCCTATAGTACTTTAAGGACTGGTTATAATTGAGTAATAGGCTAGGACCCACAGTTATGATGCTCCCCTAAATAGCAAGCAGTCATGTATGATAAGCCTGATATTTTATAATATGAATATTCTAAATCATAAGATACTAAGGTCCTTTTAATAGTGCTGGTAAATTCAGTTTCCCAGATCGATCATTTTTGACAGGTCAGTTTATGACTTCTAACTCAAATTCTCCTCAGTTCACCTGTTTTTTTCCCTTTGTCATTACCCAAGCATATTTGTGATGTGGAAAAACAGAAATAAGAATTTTAATACTTTAAAATGGTCCCTTGCCTGAGAGGTTTTTTTCCCCAGGACAGTAACTGCAAACCTGTGCACACTTTCCACCTGATCTAGTAACTCTAATAGTCCCCCCTCTCTCCCTTCCTCCTCCTTCCCTCCCTCCCTCTCATCTGTCTCTGAAAAGCAGTCTTCCTGGGAAATGATGTAACAATATTTATCCACCACTTTAAGGGAAATCTTTGTAAAGACTACCCCTGGCATGTATTATTTGTGGTTGTAAACAATCAGAATTACCATGTGAAATCATGGTATTGTTGTCCTGTTGGTGATTAGGTAGCCACAAAAATTTCAGACATAGCTAGGTGTGTCTATCATAGCATTAAGCAAAAGCAGCAGACTAGGTACTGTGTCAGATAGAGCTCAATTGTGGAAGAACAAAAGGCATATGACATGGAAGGAAATGCTGCCAAATAGTGTTACAACCATTACAAGAATTTCAATAGTTTTTTTCTGGCTGGGGTTTTTAGACTTTTTTGCTGTTAAAATACTCAGCACCAAAGTGTACATTTGGTTATGGTGGTAACACAGCACTGGGGAGGCAGAAGCAGGTGGATCTCTGTGAGACTGAGGTCAGCCTGGTCCACATGGTGAGTTCCAGGTGGGTTGGAAATAGGAGAAGGAAGGAAATGAGGTAGGGAGGGAGGGAGGGAGGGAGGGAAACAACACATCAAAGCTAGTGTTAACTGTGGTATCTTTCCCCCATGACACCCAACATCAAATGGGGTATGTAACATTCTCCAAGAGGGGTGGCAAGTGTCTGTCAATCCATAGGCCTTGCAGTTGAAGAGCACTTCTAAGACAATATCAAGGGTTTAAAAATATGATGTAACCTCTACACATAGGATGAATACATCTCTCACCTCTCACCAGAGCACTTTCCTTATGCAGCAGATGCTGATTAACACAGACACACACAATTGACAGAGGTGCAGAGAACAAGAGGCCGCAGAGTGCTTATCCATGAATAGGAACCTATTTCAAACCTCTGCCTCCCAAAGCTCAAGGAACATTTCGGAAGAGGAGGAAAGATTGTAAGAGCCAGAGGCAGGTAAATGACCACAAGCAAGCAGAGTCTTCCAGATAGCTGGTCAATTACTCATATAAAATCATAGCAATGGTAACAGCATGCACAAGTCCTATGTAAGTGCAAAACAGACATAGCAGCATAGACAGTCCCAGCATAGACATGGGGAAGTAAAAAATCCCAACCCAACCTAAGAAACTTCTGGCAATTGATGGTTGCTGGGAGAGGGAGAAACAGTATTACAGGGATGTGACTCTTGGTGGACCCAGTGAATGAACCCACACTGAAGATCATTTGAAAACACAACCAGAATCTATAGGCCATATATATATATATGAAATTATATTGTATGAAAAATAATAAAAATTCAGCTGGGCATGGTGGCACATGTCTTTAATCTCAGCACTCAGGAGACAGAAGTAGGTGGATCTCTGTTTCAGGCCAGCTGGGGCTACAGGGAGACCCTGTCTCAAAAAGGCCAAAAAAAAAATTAAAAATTTAGAAAGTAGAATGAGTGGAGCTCAGTGGTTAAGAAGCTGCTTAATTTAAGGCTGCTTTTGCGGAGGACTTGGTTTTACTTCCCAGAACCCACATATGGCGGCTCACAACCATCCATAACTCCAGTTCCAGGTTATCTGACACCCTCTTCTGACCTCCACAGGCACTGCACACATGGATGTGAAACATTCATACACACAAAATAAAAATAAATAAATCAAAAAATTAAATATTGAAAGAGTTAGTTAAAAGTTGTGGAAGACAAAGCACTTGAATGTATGTATACTCCCCAATTGGATATAAACCTAAAGGATTCTTTAAGACATGAGCACTTTTCTGTTTTCTCACTAAAATTTGAGCTGAAGAAGATGGGGTCCAGCAAGCTCCTGGCATCTTTGTCTTAACCTCCTGTCTCTTGACATTGCTAACATTTCCCTCCTTTTAAGCACTCGGGAACTTTATTAGCTCTATTACACTTGAACAGAAACTCAAACATGCTGAATCACCTCTCGAGCTAGTTGCGTTTCAAGCTTTCTGTCTCTGTGGAATAAACGTCTTTGATTTGAATTCAGAAGTTTCGAAGAAGTGAAGGGCATGAAAGTAAAGGGGGTGGGGCTGTATGAGGCATGGTGCCAGTAGAAGAAGGATGGAGATAGGAGCAAGCAAAGGGTGAATAGAACCAGTACACACTACACCCATAAAAATATCATCATGACACCCACTGCTTTGTACAAATCGTAGGCTTAACAGCAAAAGAACTTTTAAAATCAGGTAAGTATTTTGGAAAACTGATTTATTCTTGCCCTGAAATCATAGTGTATATAAGACAGACCCAGATGACCAATCTATCTTTTAATCACATCGCTGTCTGGGGTATTTCTTCTGTTTTTGGCCCTACCACCTCTGCCTATGAATGGTCCTGTAATAACTGACTAAAATCAGTTATCACTATTAGAGACCTGTGGATCCCAAGAAGTGGGAGGTCAACCATGGCTCCCAAGTCTAAAACTAAACTCCTGATTTGTTTCCCTAAACTTAATCCTGTCTCAGTTTCCCTGTTTTAGCAAGGAATGACACCTTCACTCAACTAGCAGCATAGACCAAAACTCAAAAAACATTAGCTCAAGCTAACTACTCAATAATCACTCCATTAGCAATTCTTATCAATTCTGTCTTCAATTCTCAGATTCCCCATCACTGCACACTGGTCTTTTGCTTCCACCTCTCTCCCTCCCACTCCCCTGTGTATTCTTTATTCAGCAGCAAGAAGGATCCCTCTTTGGCTCAAAAATTTCAGATGACTCCCTACCACATTTAGAGTAAAAATAAAAATAAAAAAAACACCTACACATATATCTGGCATATGGGCAACCAGGCTTTATGAATATGCTTTTATATTTATTTATTTTATTTATTTATTTATTTATTTATTTATTTATTTATTTATTGGTCTTTTTGAGACAGGATCTCCCTGTAGCCCCAGATGGCCTAGAAGTAGTTATGTAGACCAGG